ATTTAAATACTAAAAAGGTAACTAAATATATGTTATGTATAATCTATGTGTACCCCTTTTTTTATATATAATATATAAATATATATCAGATTATTATTAAAGGGACTTTCCTTACATATATATATTTATTTATTTATTTATTAATTATACATATACATGGGTAATCATCCGTACCCATTAAACCCCTTATCCAAGTAGTCCATGGAGCCCAATTGATTGGTCAATTACTACTATCCATATCCAATTCCTTAAAAATATAAAAATAAAATAAATAAAATAAAAATAAATAAAACAATTAAATCACATTCAATTCAATTTAAACAAATAATTAAATCAATTAAACAAGTAAACAATTAGCCAAGAAAACAACTAAATAATTAAATGCAATTAAAACTATTAAAATAATACCGAGACTATCCTTTTTAAATTAGGGGTATTACAGTTTGGTGCTGTTAGAATCATCTCCTCTGTATTTGTAAACTAATCACGCTCCTCTGTACTTGCAAATTGATCACCCTCCTCTTCATCTTCTTCTGTATTTGCAAACTGATCACGCTCCTCTTCATCTTCTTGTATTCCGTAATTCTATAAGTCCCTCTTTTTCTCATTCAACTTTTTTTCCCAAGTCACTACAACTACCGCCTCAATCATTCTCCTTTTCCTTCTTCTTCTTCGGTAATTGGAAGGTGTCCCATTTTTTCTTAATGAATTCCTCTGTTCCAATCACGAGATGTTTTTAATTTCGTTGGGTTTCACTTCTCCCCCACAGAAGTTGAAATCCTCCATTACCTGAGTAGAAAAGTGAAGCGAGAGAGCATGCCTGAGGGTGTAATACTGGACATTGATTTTTACGGCAAAGCTCCCCAGGATATATAAAAAAGGAAAATCCATGGCATACGAGTAACAAGAATAAATGTCAATCCGTTATCTACGTCTTCACCAAGTTAAAGAAAATTAACGATAAGAAAAGAGTTGTAAGGAGAGCCGGGTGTGGGACTTGGGATAACAAAAACAAGCCCGAGCAAATTTATAATGAACATAAACAGCTTGTTGGTTTCAAGAAAATGTTGGCTTTTGAAGCAAATATCAATAAAGATGCGTGGTCGATCATGCCAAGAGGTCATTGGACTATGCATGAGTATTCGCCGGGTGGTGTGAGTTAGATAGGCTAGAAAAACATATTGATCAAGATTATGTTGTTTGCAAATCAAAAGAGATGATTCTAAATATATAAGGAGAGCACTAAAGAATGCTCGTGAGGTATCCAAAGAAGAAAACCCTAGTCGGAAGAAGAAAAAAAAAGATGCGATATGATCATAATGAGGCCTCTGCAAGTACTCCTCCACAAAAGACTTTGCTTGCAACGTCTTTCAATTTTCAGCCTTTTCCAGCATATTATGATGAGACTGCAAGACTCTTTGATCTGCCCAACATCAACTGTTGTGGTATAATAGAAGGCTGTAGGAAATAGACTCATTTTTTGACAATTTTGATGCAACTACTACTGCAACATATTCTGATATTCAGCGGCTGCTGCCACTACGTGACGATGATATCTGTACAATGAACTCTTGCGATACAGTACAAGACGAAGACCTGCTGCAGATTGAGTTATTTTTTTGACAACTTTAATTTCGAGACTGATTTCTTTAATTCTGAGATAGAGGCACGCATTATGGCTTTTTCTGAAAGTCTTCTGTCTTAAGATGATGAGTTTGTATGTGTAGTTACTAGTTCTTCCTTTTGTTTATTGTTCATTGTTTTTGTACAGTAGGCGCGTGGGATGACCACTAATTGTGCGTAGTGGCGCAATGATGGAGCTGATCTGACACTTTGAGGTGCGGGATTACCGCTGGTGCGCGTGAAAGCGCATGGAAGAGCGGGATTACCACTTAAGGCGCATGGTGGAGTAGTTTGGAGTGCGGAAGCATAAGTTTGCAAGCATGATTTACCGGTTTGGCGCTGTTAGAATCATCTCCTCTTTATTTGCTTACTGATCATGCTCCTCTGTACTTGCAAACTGATCACGCTCCTCTTCATCTTCTTCTGTATTTGTAAACTGATCACGCTCCTCTTTATCTTCTTGTATTCCATAATTCTGTAAGTCTCTCCTTTTCTCATTCAATTTTTTTCCCAAGTCACTACAATTACTGCCTCAATCATTCTCCTTATCCTTTTTCTTTTTCTGTAATTGGAAGGTGTCCCTTTTTTTCTCAATGAATTTATCTGTTTTCGATCACGAGATGTTTTTAATTTCGTTAGGGTTTCACTTCGCCCCCACAAAGGTTGAAATCCTCCATTACTTGAGCAGAAAAGTGAAGCGAGAGAGCATGTCTGAGGGTATAATATTGGACATTGATCTTTACGGCAAAGCTCCCTGGGACACATAAAAAAGGAAGATCCATGGCATACGAGTAGCAAGAATAAATGTCAATTCGTTATCTACGTTTTCACCAAGTTGAAGAAAATTAACGATAAGAAGAGAGCTGTAAGGAGAGCCAGGTGTGGGACTTGGGATGGCCAACACAAGCCCGAGGAAATTTATAATGGACATAAACGGCTTGTTGGTTTCAATAAAATGTTGACTTTTGAAGCAAATATCAAGAAAGATGCGTGGTCGATCATGCTAAGAGGTCATTGGACTATGCACGAGTATTCGCTGGGCGGTGTGAGTTTGGATGGGCTAGAAGAAGGTATTGATCAAGATTATGTTATTTGCAAGATCAAAAGAGATGATTCTAAATATCTGAGGAGAGCACCAAAGCATGTTCGTGAGGTATCCAAAGAAGAAAACCCTAGTCGAAAGAAGAAAAAGATGCAATATGATCATGATGAGGCCTTTGCAAGTACTTCTCCATAAAAGACTCCGCTTGCAACATCTTTCGATTTTCAGCCTCTTCCAGCATATTATGATGAGATTGCAAGACTTTTTGATCTGCCCAACATCAACTGTTGTGGTACAATAGAAGATCTGCGACAAATAGACTCGTTTTTTTGACAATTTTGATGCAACTACTATTGTAATGTCTTCCGATATTCAGCCACTGCTGCCACCACATGGCAATGATATCAGTATAATAAACTCTTGTGATACAGTACAAGACCAAAACCTACAGCAGATTGAGTCATTTTTTGACAACTTTGATTTCAATACTGATTTCTTTGATTTAGCGATGGAGGCACGCATTAAGGCTTTTTTTGAAAGTCTTCTATCTTAAGATGATGAGCTTGTATGTGTAGTTATTAGTTTTTCCTTTTGTTCATTATTCATTGCTTTTGTACAGTAGGCGTGTGGGATGACCACTAATGGAGCGTGATGGAGCGGTGACGGAGCTGATTCGACACATTAAGGTGCGGGATTGTCGCTGGTGCGTGTGAAAACGCATGAAAGAGTGGGATTCTCACTTGAGGTGCATGGTTGCGCGGTTTGGAGTGCGGAAGCGTGAGTTTACAAGCATGATTTGCCGGTTGACTACCGCTGCCGAGGATGGGGCTAATGGTGCCATTCTCGACGGTGACTATGATAAACTTGTAGATTGTTTAGCAGAGATCGAAAGGCTTTAATACCAAGTTAGATATAAAAGAGAGAGTATAACTCTGTAATGTATTGATGTAAACAAGAGGGATTTATATAAAAGGGGTTTTGTGTGATGAACAAGTAAACCCTATATGTATATGGTAACTATATATATGATAATCTTATACAAGGTTAGAATATATTATACAATATAGTAATAATATATTGTAGAATATATTATTCAATAACTTATAGTAATACTATATTGTAGAATATATAATAATAGTAATAATATATTCTACAATATATTCTAACAATAACTTAATTCCGCCGCTTTCACGTTTTTACTTTGGAATTCACTCCCACTCCTGTTTTGTGTTTATAAATGAGCATTTTTCATATAATTTTTTTGACCTATCATCTAAAGTCTTTAAACTAAATAATAATAATAAACGGAGTCTAATTCGTGACGGAATATTAATAATAACACGAAAATGACTATTATGCCCTATTTCATTTAAATAAATAAGTAAAAAACAATAAAAATCCAGGATACTCTTTTGTTTTAACGTTAACTGATGGGGTTTCTGATAAGTTTTTGGACTAATATTTTGGGACCATTATGGCGTTTATAAGGTTAGAACGGTAGGTTGCAGGCCTTTTTTTTTTTTTTTTTTTTTGCCTTCTTACACACATGCACATTTGTATCTTAATATAATTAAGCTAAAGTAATTTTGCAAAGTTGAAATTAAACGAAGATATTACTGAATTAATAAAGAGAATTAAGGTGGTGTTTAATAATAAACATAAAATTTAAAATTGGAATGAAGTAAGTAATTGATAAATTAGGTGATGTGATATTGTGATATTGCGATGTTATAGCACTTTAAAGTAAGGGAAAGTTTCAAGGGAGCGAGTCTTATGACTCTTATCACCATCACTTACAATTTTAAAAAGTATTTAAAATTTTAATACTTAAAATTATACTTAATTTTTAATTTTTTTTAAAGGTCTTCTCATTGTATGGCTTTTACTTGCATCAGTTTCATAACATGAGTGAGATTTAAATTACAAATTTAGGCATCCAAAGAATTTAAATCGGTCACAAGCTTGAAATTGGTACACCAACATTTGTAAAGAGTTCCCAAGTGTATAGAGTTCACCTTATTACGTTAGATGATCCTATATAAACTTCTGTTTTTTTTTTTTTTGGGTCAAAATATTGAAAATTTTGTTTACTTGTTATTTTATATATATATATATATATAGATATAGATATGTATGCATATATCATAAGTAGTTTTGGTATGGGTCAAACTAATAATATGCGCCCCCAACACAACAGCTACTAGAGTACAAATCACCGAATTCATTTTGACCACGGTGTTGATCTTTATTCGACCATTTAGTGACACTCAATAGCAACACCAATCTCATTTATAATAAGCTTGAATTTTGGGACATAACATGAGAGTGAATTAGTACAGCCCTTGATAAGAAGGTCTAGCAATGGGGTCCAAAAACATGGAGAAGAAAATGATATTTCCTATTGCTGTTCTAACATCCATAGTATGCATTTGCTTTCTTGCAACCTCCTTCAACCTGGGCATTGTTTCTTCCATCCACACCATTAACACAATCCTCTCAACTTTGCCATCTACAAACCAAACAGAAGCAAATGTTAATCAAGCTCCAGAGTCCTCTGTTCCTCGTTTCGCTTATCTGGTTTCGGGATCAAGAGGTGATCTTGAAAAACTTTGGAGAACTCTTTTATCACTGTACCATCCATTGAACCAGTATGTTGTTCATTTGGACCTCGAATCTCCGGTAGAGGAGAGACTAGAGCTTGCTTCAAGATTGGAAAAAGAAGCAATTTTTGCTCAAGTTGGGAATGTTCATATGATTACTAAAGCTAATATGGTTACTTATAAAGGGCCTACAATGGTTGCAAATACTCTTCATGCGTGTGCTCTTCTTCTCAAGAGAAGTAAGGATTGGGATTGGTTTATTAACCTCAGTGCTTCAGATTATCCTCTTGTCACTCAAGATGGTTAGTAGTCTCTTTAATTTGTACACTCCATTTATTTTTTTAAAACTGTTTGATTTATAACTTGTAATTCTTCTTGTGTTTAGATCTTCTTTACACGTTTTCTGATTTAAACCGGGAACTGAATTTCATCGGACACACTAGCCGGTTGGGCTGGAAGGAGTAAGAGCTCTCTCTCTGTGTGTTTGTGTGTGTGTAGTGAGTAAACTCAACATCAACTAACTATATCTGTGTACATGACATTGTATATGGTCCTGTTTGCAGGGGTTATAGGGCAAAGCCTTTGATTGTAGATCCGGGTCTCTACCAATCAGAGAAGTCAAAAATCTTTTGGGTCACACCAAAGAGAACTTTGCCAACTGCCTTTAAATTATTTACAGGCTAGTGTTTTCTTGCATTTGATTATTTTAAGCCTTGTGTTAATTAATGAAAATGTTAATCTGTGTTTGATTCTATAGAATTACAATCCACCAAATGTCAAATTTGGTTGAATCACCATCTGTGTTTGTTGAAGTTTTTATATAAAAAGGGGCTAGCCCAGTGCACAAGGCTCTCGCTATTGCGGGGTCCGGAAAGCATCCGATATATGCAATCTTTTCTCTTTATGCAGAAATTGTGATGTAAACATAAAATGATATAAAATTTTCTTGCAGGATCTGCATGGATGATACTGTCACGTTCATTTGTAGAATTCTGTGTATGGGGTTGGGATAACCTTCCAAGAACCCTACTCATGTACTACACCAACTTTGTCTCAGCTCCAGAAGGATACTTTCAAACTGTGATATGCAATGCGCCACAATTTGCTAGTACTGCTATCAACCATGACATGCATTACATTGCTTGGGACTATCCCCCGAAACAGCACCCACGCACCCTGTCCCTTAATGACTCGAGCAAAATGGTTGCAAGTGGTGCTGCCTTTGCGCGTAAATTCAAACAAGACGACCCTGTCTTGGATGAGATTGACGGGGAATTACTAGGCCGTAAAAATGGAAGCTTTACGCCTGGTGGATGGTGCTCCGGTGATCCCTCCTGTTCTGAGGTTGGGAACCCTTCCATGCTCAAACCAGGTCCAGGAGCACAAAGGCTAAGCCATCTTATTGGTAAGTTATATTCGTCAGCTAAGGCTACGGTTAATCAATGTAAATAGCCTCACCAAAAAGAAATCAGTGTAAATAGATTTTACTCAGCATTCAAGTTGCTCTTGCTTGTAGAGGGAAAAAGAAACCAGAAAAGTTAGTTCAGACTTCAGACCACAATCCCAACAACTTCTTATTGGTATATTGTAACTGGAATACATCTTGATTACCATTTTTTTTCTTAGTATCAGTGTCACACGTTACTAATGTTATTGTGCACTGTATGTAAAAACACTTGATTTCAGAGTGTAAAGTCAAATTTACTCAATCATGATCGAGGGCGGATCCAACATTTCTGAATGGGGTGGCCTAACTTTGGATTGGGCTAATTTGGGGTGGAATGCCATTACTAATTTTTTTTATTTTTTTGGGGCTGGGCTTAAAATAGGATGATAAAAATAAAAAATAAATTACTTTTTGGGGTGGGCTGAAGCCCATCTTCGCCCACCCCTGGATTTGCCTTTGATCATAATTTTTTTTTGAGGTTTTACATTAGATGCAATGTTCGGGAATTAATTTGCATTTTTTCTATTATTGAAATGATATTGATATATTATTCTATTTCGCAAAGGACAATACTTAGCTACTTACTGGTGAGTAGGGTGAATCTACTCACCCCTATGTGGTCCAATAACAAAATAACACATTACCTTTAATAATAAAATAATCCACACCTTTCTTGAATAAACGTATATAGTGTTGTTAGGTGTAAATTATTTTATTATTAAATATGATATGTTATTTTATTATTAGACCACATAAGAGTGAATAACTTTACCTTACCCACCAATGAATAGCTGAGCATTACCCTTTGAGAAATGCTTCTTAACCTAGATAAAGAGCAAGGTCCAAGTAATTGGCATGACCCATTCTAGCATTTTAGATTGAGAGGAGTGACATTGAGACAATGATAACTAGCCAATGTGACCAGCTAACAGACTAAAAGTCAGTACTTCGTTTGGATGATGACTAAATTCAAAGTCGATATCCTATATTGAGTTCAGAGGAAATTACCAGGCAGAAGCTTCCAAGAAGGATTTCATCAATTGGAGTTTGGCCCGCAATTGCCTATAATAACAAATTTGAAATATCATTTTTGGGGAGATATTCCTGTCCCTAGATTGACTGAAAATTAATCACTGATTTTGGCATCCGTCTTAAATCTAACAATCCCAAACCCCATTCTATTACCTTCAACAAGAACTTTCGAAGCACAACAGCCTATTTAATTAAAATATAGTGTGTTAGTGGCTAGTAGCAATAGCAATAGGATAAACCAGAAGTGCACTTCTGAATTACTGGCTTACAAGAATTATACAAAGATACGAAGTTCTATAGTGGCTGAACCTAGTACGATAATCATTACAACCCAAAAAGTAATAAGTGATGCTACAAGTTTCATTCTTCAAAAGACTACAACAAAATCAGAGTTGCTAAACTAACTAATTTTGCATTAGTCAGTGAGCCTGTTTTTTGATTCCGTCTCTTCATTTAGAGCGTTATTCCATTCATTAATGTCCACCACTCCCATCAATTTCTCAGCCACATTGATAATCTTACCAGGCAGACCATTGCATTCTTTCACAATTTGCTTTGCAATTTGTTCAAAATCCGAGGGAAGTGGGCTGTTCAGCCCTAGTTTTTCCATAAACAACTCCTCTGCTTCTTCAGAAAGAAGAGACTTCAACATGATGATTTTGCAGCCCATCCTTCCACACACCTTTGATGATTGAGTAGTTAAAATCAGTTTGCATCCACCCCTTGTGGTTTGAATTCCTACCTTATCTAGGGGGAAATGTTTTGAAAGACCATCTAATATGAGTAGGTTTTTACTTCTTTTCTGCAGTGCTTCATGTAACCTCGCTGCCCTTTGCATTTCATCTCTCTCCTCTGGAAGATCGACTCCTACCACTCCGGCAATGTCATTTTGCATTGTGCGAATATCGAACTCTTGTGATACTGTCAGCCAATAAACATGATCAAAAGTGCTGGTATTTTCTAAGAGGCTATTATTTATATGGGACATAATGGCTGTTTTCCCCACTCCTGCGTTGCCAAGAACACCAATCCTTGAGATCTCATCATTAGTCAAGTGTCTCAAAATTTCTTCCATATTTTCTTCAGGTGTAACGTGACCCACCAACTTTGTCGTCACCAATGCCACCCCTTTGGTCTGAGATGCTTTCAGTAGAAGATCATCAGCAGGAAATCTTCCTTGCTGGATAAGCTCTTCTACCTCTTGTATATGCTTTTCAACACAACTTTCCAACCATGCATACCTGTAAATTTTTGCTTGTTGAACGTCTTGGCATGTGCTTTCCACTTTGTTTCTTTTACTTTGTACTGTTTCCAACCAATTATGGACTTCTCTTTTTCGCTTATTTCCAGACTGGAACTCTGCTTGTTCCAATTGTGTGCTAAGATCCTGCTCTTGACTCCCCAAGGTCTCCATCTTTCCCTTGAGAGTTTGCACCCTTTCTTTAAGGTGATTGTGATAGTTTATCAACTCAGGAAACTCAGTAGCAAATTTCCAGACATTCTTGAGAAGTTCAACTTTGTTCCATAGCTTCTCCAAGAATTGTGTCGGCACTGCAATGCCTAATGCCAAAAACACCAGGAATTCCATCCCCATTGCACTACCTAATATCAAGAACATCAAAATGTCCGTATCAAAAACCTGATACCCTCTTGCAGGAAGCAGAATAAATATATTAAGCACCCAACGTACAACCTCAAGAAGAGGAAATTGAAGGAAAAGGTAAGTCATCTATGGAAGTACATATAAAACAACTAATAAAAGAGCTCCTGAGCTACTGAACTTGCATCCAAGCAAGTAAATTTACAATCAAAGAAAATTATTCGAATTGCCAAAAGTATCTCTTAATTATTAATATACATACATGGAGCAATAAAAGGTTACCACATCAATTGTGAAGCTATGCCCCTAATTTTGTTTTGAGTTACAACCCGGTTATGACCCAAGTGTAGGCAGAGTGGGCTTCTAGTGCATGACTATTGTGGCAATGATATAGGGCTATGTTCAATGACCTAGGCATGACATGATATTAGGTTGAGGCATGAGCGACAAAGCTAAGGAGATCAGTTTGTGGCATAGGCCACTTGCTACACCATGAACATGGGCTGGGCTTGGTCGTTGATTGGTAAGGTTGGTGGTGGGCAGGCTGACCTAAGACAGTTAGCATACATGACATTGCTTAACTCGTGAGAAGGCAGAATATGCCAGACAACCACCCTTGCAATTGTGGCCGCATCTGGAGCTTGACAAGCAAGAGAGGTAGTTGCTGGAAAGTGGTCCGAGGGGACCGAGACCCTAGTGGCACATAGAGGTGGTGTCAGCACAAATTAGCTGTTGAGATGTGTCAACTGCAAGCCTTTGACGAATGCCAACATATCCCTAGGATAGTTGGGGGAGTTGGTAGTTTCCAGCTTTCGGGTTTGCCTATTGATAGGTTTGTTGGGGTCTGCAGGCACACCAAAAAGTGTGCATTGTAACTTCCTGCAGAGCCTTCTTGGTCTCATTTCCTTGTAATATTGTGAGCACAGGTTAAGAACTTAGTTTTGTGAGCTATCATCACTTATACCTTGTTTAACCTTTGTGCATTGAATTGGCTGATGGCACTTGGTGTGAACAAGTTCCAACACAGCAACCAAATTTGGTGACAAGTCTGAACCCTTGTGACGCCTACCATCAATCAAAGGTTCGGTTTATTTCCAAAAGAGTGGATCCCATCCTGTCCAGTGCATCAAACACGCCTTTCAAAAAACCTTAATTTGGCACAAAAGTATGAGGCCAATAATAAAATAAAATTTATTTCTTCCAAATTATCCCTTTCATCCAAACAACCAATCCTTAATTGAATCAATCTAAAGTATTTATTATTCCAAGAATGTTTTAAATTTAAAACTGACAGAAGTAGTAGTGAATTAAATTCTAAAATTCTCACATTCTTTCAGGAGAGGTTCAAAGCAAAAACTATCCTTGCTCCGTAAGACCAATATTTTTGAAAATCAACAAAATAATTACTTCCAAGCTCAAATAATTGAGATATTATATATTTCCCTCACCAACACAGAAATCTTTAGCCAAGCAATTCCCAAGATCATAAAATGATGATGCACAAGCACAACAAGAGAGAACAATTAACCAAAATTTCAGACACAAGACTAAATAGTAAGTAAATACTAAAGCGAACAGAGAAATGAAGCTTGAATAGTGTACCTGAGCTGAGATCAAACGGATTGATTGATAGATATATGAAGTTTATAAAGGCCAAGGAAATAGAAAGCAGTGATCTACTCCCCTGTCTCTGATCTCTCCTCTTCTGAATAGTAAAGTAAAATAGTACAAGTCTTCCTGTTCTATGGGTTGACTTGACTTGACTTGACTTGACTTGTTAGTGGTGGGTGCATGGAAGGAACATCCTGCTACTATTACATTTCCTCCAGTTCCCCTACCCCCAATAAGATTTGCAATGTTTTGCATGAAAAAAGACTGGGCCTGGGCCTGGGCCCCGGGCCTATCTTTTGTGATTGATATAGAATTGGTGAGAGCAAATACCTCCTCAATTTAAATGTTGATGGATATATGTCTTTCTATATACAATTTTATATTTTTATAGTTTGTCATGCATGTTACATAAATCAGTTGAATATAATTAAGTGCATGATCAATGGACTCATATTTTTTCTGATAAAATATTAGAGCACAGAAGAATGATACTGATGGGGTAAATTTTTTTATTAAATTAATTATTTAGTATATGAGTGACCTCTTTGAGTGACCTCTTTATTTCACTTCTTTCTTTCTTTGTCTTTTAACCTCATTTCACTTCTATCTTTTTTTTATTTATTTTTTTTATTTTTCCAAAAAGTTAAACAACGGCTATAAAAAAATAATAATTACAAAAGGAGGGCCTTCGGCCAAACAAGCCTTTAATATAGGCAACCCAGCCCAAAGAAGGCAACCCAAAGAAACTAGAATGGCCTTTGCACTAGTCAGTGAGCCCGTTTTTTGATTCGTTCTCTTTATTATTAGTTCAGTGTGTTATTTTTATTTTTTTTATTTTGTAGCCATTGCATATTTGAATGTATGATTTTGTTAGAATTAATTTCTAACCAGTGGTGTTAAAGTTGATACATTGAAGTCCCATGTTATTACTCATATGCTTTCTTACCATGTTACTAGTAGAGTTAAAAACACTAATATAGAAAGAAAAAATTATCAATTTAAGTCCATCTTGATTTAAACTCATGTAATTTTTTTGAAATTATTTTATCATATAACAAGGAAAATGATTCTTGCATCGAATAGTTGCAATGAATTGATAGCCTTAATCTTTTAATTGATCAATTATGTAACAAATAAGGAAGTAGAATTCTCCTCTTAATTGTATTTGGTATAAATAGTCAATTAAAAATTATTGGGTTAGGTAATTCATATTCGGTCCGAATATCCCTACTCTTTAATTAAAACTCAAATCATTTGCTTAATTAAAAATCCTAATTTCCTTGAGCTAGACATTCATTTCAAAGAGGGCATATTAACAAATGATAAAATAAATTTTAAGAAAGTTTTTAAGAAAAGAAGAAAAAAATAAAAAAGAAAGTAAAAATACGAGAGAATTAAAAAAAAAAAAAGAAAAAAAAAAAAGAAGAAAAGGATTTGATTAGAGAAAGGAAATGCACATTTCTTTAAAAATTAAGAATCAAAAAGAAAAATTAAGAAGAAGAGAAAGAAAGAATTAAAGAATTTATAAAAATATATGTGTGTGTGTGTATATATATATATATATATATATATATATATAATTTTAGAGGGACATTCTGTGAAATGTATAAAATACTCGCATAGATCTTAAAACAATTTAATGGCTCAACACGATCTCCGTTCTCTCACTTTGTAGGGCAACAATGCATCACGCATCATTAAACAATAATATAAAATATTGTTTTGTCTAAGTGACGCAGAATTGTTGCATACGTGATAAATACAGAATAAAAATAAGATAAAAAATTATTTGAATTCCTCGAACTAAACTAATTTTTTAGATCGAGTTTAAGATGGAGTCCTGTTGTAGTTAATATGCCAAATCAAACATAACCACGTGTGCATCTCATGTTATTTTTGGCTAAATTGGTCAAAATACCGTATTTCATTTTGGTTTAAAAAAAAAATAAAATAAAAAATAATTGTCAAAAGTATTCATTTTAAGTACTTTTTGTTCTCAAAGATAATGCTTGTTAACCAAACTAATCGTAAAATTTGTTTTCAAAATGTTTTAAATATATATTTAAAATTTAGAAAACTGGATTAAAAAGCAAATGCTGTTAATTTTGCATGAAGAGATCGCTGCTACTTTAAACCCAGACGCAATGCACTCTCATTCTTCTATACGCCCTTCCACAACGACGAGTCCAACGTTTCATCACTCAAAACCCTAGAATCCGCAATTGGGTTGGCAATTGAGAGCACTAAAAGGTAAGCCGAATCTATCAATATCCGCTGGGTTTGATTTGTTTGTTTTTGCCGCATTGATCTGTTAGTTTAATTCGCTGCTCTGTTCTTAATATTCTCACAAAATTTTTGGATTTGAATTTTAATTATGAATGCGATTCGTTCTATGATTAGGGAGTTTGTCGATTTCCGGGTTTTTTACTTGATGACAGTCAAGAGAAGGAATCCAGGAAAAAGTTGGAAACACTGAAATCATTATTATATATTTTTTTATTTTTTATTTGTTTTTCAATGAGACTGTATTACAATGCGACATAGAAATACTGAATTTCATTGGTTTTTGAGATTATATTACTGAGAACTTGGTGAAAATCAGTAGTGGGTCTAATTTTGTAGAAAAGGAACACATTTTCAAATGTACTGAATTTGAAAATTGGCTTCAGTTTCTGAAATTTCAGATTTCTGATTGATTTGGGGGTGGTTTGGCATTTGGAGAAGAAATGTTGTTCCTGTGAAGTGGAGGGTTAATTCTGAAGGGAAAGGCAATGAAAGGCAAAATAGTGGCTTTGAGGTAGAATGACTGGAGGGTCATTGGGTTTACGTACAGGGAGTTATGGATCACTGCAACAACTCAATGGTGTATTGCGGACTCAGAATTCTTTCACCCTGCGCAAGTCTCCGAAGATGTGCCTTTTCGGTTCAAGAGTGAAGGAAAGATTTCTCGCCTTTACTTACAGATATTTAGGTAAAAGGAAAGTTGGAATGCTGGTTTTGGTTGTCTTTGCTCTTTTGGCTTTTATGACAGGCTTCTTCTTTCTTAAAGGTTTGTTTCTCTTCTGTTGTTCCCTTCTTTCTATCTTTATTTCCCTTTCATATTTATATTCCCCTCTATATGAGATAATGAGAGGTACTGTAACAAGTAACAACTAACAAGTTTTGATGTCATTTTCTGCATAGTCTATCTAATTTTATCTGGTTGAATTATTTAGATGGAGAAATTGGGGAAGAGGCACTTTTAATTTTTTTATTTTGGATTTGAGTTATTCTTGCCCCTGATTTTGCCTGGAATTTTTTACTCGAGGGCTACTGATCTGAAATTAAAGAAAAAAAAAAAAAAAAATGGAGTTGTTGGCTGGCCAACGTTTTTGAATCCTGCACAAAAAATTAGTGAGACATCATAGCTAGGAAAGAGGAGCATTTGCATTAAACTGGATGGTTAGAATTATGAAGTCATTTCATTTTTTAGATTTCCTTTTGTATGAGATATCATCTGCTAATGATGAAAAAAGAAGAGAAATCATCTGCTAGAACTGATATCCATCTAGATCTTCTTGAGTTCATCAAAGTGTTGTTGTTTCATGGTAGACTTATGAGATTTGTGATATTTTTTGGTAATGTCTAGGAAGCACGGACACGCCAAAATGGGCTATAAGAATCTGTGTCCGACGAAACGTGTCTGGAATTTTTTATTTTTTATTTTTTATTTTCGGACACTCCGCGGACATGCGTGTCTTATTTTCAGGGGTCTAAAAGAAAATTTTTGAAAGAAAATTGGGTTAAAGTATAAATATGTGAAGTTATTTAGCAACTTTTACTCACTTATGTGGTCAATACATAATAATTTTAATCTTGTAAGGTTAATATGCAATTTTAGATAAAACAAATAGATATTTAAGGGCCAGTCGTTACACTATTACAGTAGATGAGTTATGATTTGTGTATTTTTTTCATTATGAGGTTGATGAAAAATAGTAACACTCAGTAATTTTTGAAGTACTACACCAAATATATATATATATATATATATATATATACTATTCGCTGTGTCCTTGCTGTGTCCGTGTCCTAAATTTTTTGAATTTGCCGTGTCGCCGTATCCATGTCGTGTCGTATCCATGTCCATTCTTCTTAGATTACCCCATTCATATATTCTCGTACTTCTATCAGTGGTTTAATACTTATGTGCATGATGATTTGTTTTCATTAGAAGAAGAATCAGAAAGCACTAGTTCAAACATCGCTCAGAATATTCAAAACACTAGTCCTTTCCTCAGAACTGAAGGTGCAAAGGACAATAATTCTTCTCTTCTGAATCACATGAAAGTTTGTGCTGAAAATAAGGGCCATCCCTCTTCACCAACTACTCCGTATGTTTCTGCTGCTGCGGTTGTTATAGGGTCTTCCATTCCTCTGGGCGATCAATGCAAAAATTTTGCGTTTCCCCCTCCTCCCCCTGGTCCTAGTAGAAGGATTGGACCACGCCGTAAGTTTGTGTTTTGTTTCTCATTCTTTATCTGTTCTCTCTTTTAGCCGCAACAATCGACTCATCCATGTAAATTTAAATATCAAATAGATATAATTATAATTTTAAATAGAACATCTTATTCATTTATATGGTTTTGTTAACATGAATATGTCAAAGGTTAGTTTTTGTTAAAGCAACTATCGTATGCATGTAATGTATATGATGCTACAGTGCTGTTGACTTTGATCTTTTTTATTTCATCAGCTTGTCCGGTATGCTACCTTCCAATTGAGCAGGCTATATCTAGCATGCCGAGCTCCCAATCAGTTTCACCCGTGCTTCGTCATTTAACTTATTTCCTTGAGGAAAATCCTACTAAAACTGAATCACATGGAGGCTCTGACTTTGGTGGGTATCCTTCTCTTGGTCAGAGGAACGATTCTTTTATTATAAAAGAATCAATGACTGTGCACTGTGGGTAGGTTTCATTCTATAAATGAAGATACTATGATGGCATATGAAGATACTTTATAAATCAAGATACCATGATGGCATATGAAGATACTTTATTTTACCTTTTAAATTTATTTGTTTTTCTTGTGATTTGAATCTGGTGCATGTTCTTTTTCAGCTTTGTAAAAGGATGTAGACCTGGCCAACATACTGGATTCAATATTGATGAAGCTGACCTTGGGGAACTGGAGCAGTTCCATGATGTCATTGTTGCATCAGCCATATTTGGTACTGGATAGCATAGAATATCTTCAAAGTTTCAAAACTCTTCTTTTATTATAGGTTATAAGAATTGTGTTGCAACCAGGACTCTTCTTTTATGATAGATTACAAGAATTGTATTGCAAACCTCTCCCTCCCTTTTAGATGCCATTGGCAGTTTTATCATTGTGACGTGACGTCTTTGTTAGAACTTCTGTCTTTTAACGAATATTGTTTTGCCTTTTTATGTGATTTCATTTCTTTACAGGAAACTATGACATAATACATCAGCCTCAGAATATTAGTGAATTCGCAAGGAAAAATATTCCCTTTTATATGTTTATCGATGAAGAGACAGAAACACACATGAAGAATTCTAGTGTCTTAGATGGCAGCAAGAGGGTTGGATTATGGAGAGTGATTGTTGTCTACAACACTCCTTACACTGATTCAAGACGCAATGGAAAAGTCAGTTCACTTTGTTGTGGCTGGTTTGCTTTTCTCCCGTCTCTATACTAGAACTTAGAGTTGATCAAAATTGTGCAGGTTTTAATTTTTTACATCCATCTGACTGTGCATTGATTCATCGTGTCATGAACATCAATATGAATGTTAAGGGAGTGCTATAGCCCTACGCATTAGGTATTGCTTTCTACATGGTTCCGGCATGGATAGGAATTTTGTCATAAAAACTTGTAATTATAGTCAAGGATTATAAACTAAGTGGTCATAGAATCTCCTTAACCTGCATGCACACACGACTTCTCAAAGTTGATGTAGTCAGGTCAGTATTTGTGTGTGTAGCCAGGATTTTAGTTGGGGGGGTAGTGTTAAGAAGAAAAAAAATTATTTAAAGGAGTAGAAGGGAAAAAAATAAGAAAAAGGGAAAAAAAAGTAAGAAAAATGACAACTTAAAAAGGAAAAAATTAGAATTTAATTTAACAAGGGAAAATTGAACTTTTTTTAAGGAATTTGAAGAGTAAATGAGGGAAAAACTATAAAATAAAAAAACTACTATATGTATAGTGGGTGGGGCAAGTGGGCATACACTGGCTCTGCCCATATGTGTGTGTTTTATTATTATTATTATTTTTTTTTTATTTTTTGTTGTGTTGTTGTTGTTGTTGTTTGTTGAACCAGTGTATTATTTGCTTTTGGAGAAATCCTACTTCAGTATTAGAGTTCTAAAACCTATTTCAGGATGATAAATTCTAAGTTTCAAAATGAATTGAGAAATCTGAATTATTCCTTTAGAGAACTCAACAATTTAAGTCTTAACAAGAATAAGCATGAATTTTGTTTGCATACATCAGACTTGTATATACTGAATATGAATTCTATTTTTAGAAATCCTGAGCTTCTGGGCATCAGGATACGCACAAGGGACCTGAGGGTGAGAAGGAAGAGGGAAAGTACGGGCCTTTGTGTTTACAAGAACCTAAGATCTGGGTGATTACATAAATAACTGAATTTGGAACAGGGATACTTAATAAAAAGAATAATTTAAACACTGTCCAATTTGAGAAGTAGAACATTGAAGCAGGGGCTAGTTTAATAATATAAACTGTGGATGTGGGTTGTTACAGGTTACTTCCACTCCCCAACCCCCTCCCCACCACCCCCTGTTAATGACCCTCTCCGAAATGAATGGTGTTCCTGTGATTCAGGTTTTGCTCAGAATCCTGACCCTTTTGAGGAACTCTTGTGAAAAATTTGTCAAGGCAGTTAGGGTGTCAGATTTTTTTATGACCAAGAATACTTCTGGCAGGTTCCAAAGCTTCTATTACATAGGCTCTTTCCCAATGTACGTTATTCAATATGGATTGATGGAAAGCTTCAGCTTGTCGTGGATCCATATCAAGTTCTTGAGAGGTACATGCCATCCTATTTTTATCTGCCTTTTCATGCACTTGATGTGCTAAATTTGATCTTTTACAATGAAAGGAGAGATTTTGTGCTTTCTACTTCGTGATTTTTATTGATTTAATTGATGGAGCACTTCAGTATTTCATCATAATTTGGTGCTCTTTCTTTTAAGTCTCTCAGCTATGCATATAATCCTTAAATTACATTACTCTCTGTATTGTAACTACTAAAAATCGAATTTTTTGGTAAGCAATCTTTTCAGTTGCTTTATCAGTTGATCCTATTAGTATAATATGATTTGTTGCATGGCTAATGAATTTCAAATTTCTTAAAACACTAAAAAGCATTACTACTTCAGGAAGTTGAATGGCAAATTATCTCACTATTAGTTAGGCATAAAATTACGTGTAGATCTTATTGTTGTGGACCATGGTGATCATCACGATTACAAAACATCGCTTCCATGCAGATCAGGTCTTTCATTATCATCACATTAACATATCTATCAAATTTTTGGCTTTTTGGCTATATTCCTGGTTTTTTATTGACGAATATAGGGATTGCATATAACTGTAAATTTTAATGGCTGGAAGATGGAGATTGCATACAAATGTCTATGACCTCGCCTCTCCATGAAATTATATAAAATGTCACTTTCTAAGGTATTCTTTGGGTTCATTTTTTATAACTTCCGTGTTCTAGGACCTGAAAACAGCAAATTAACTCAATGTTGGATTTTATTTTGGCCAAACCAATATGTATAATCAAGTTTATAACTGAAACAAGTCACTTCTGGTTATTCAACTCAACTGTATGTAAAGAAGAGAATTTGTTTTATAGCATTAATTGAAATTATTCATTGCATGTGTCACGTTCACATGATTCCTTAACTGTTTCATTGTCAGGTTCTTGTGGCGACAAAATGCTTCTTTTGCGATTTCAAGACATTACAGGCGCTTTGACGTGTTTGTAGAAGCTGAAGCGAACAAAGCTGCAGGGAAGTATTACAATGCCTCCATTGATTACCAGATTGATTTTTATAAAAAGGAAGGTTTAACACCATATTCCGAGACTAAGCTTCCTATAACTAGTGGTAGGTGCATGATGTTTTTGTGCGTGTGTTTTTGCTCATTTTTCCATCTCAAAAGTGTTTTATTGCTCATGAATGAAATTCTGCAGATGTTCCTGAAGGCTGTGTGATTATAAGGGAACACATTCCTATCACTAATCTGTTCACCTGTCTATGGTTCAATGAAGTTGATCGTTTTACTTCCAGGGATCAATTAAGCTTTTCCACTGTAAGGGATAAAATAATGGCTAAAGTTAACTGGAGCATCAATATGTTTATGGATTGTGAGAGGCGTAATTTCGTGATACAGGTAGTAATTTACATACATATATCATATATGGTAGGACTGTACTGGAAAATGGAAAATCAATTCAATTATTCCCTTAAAAATTTGTTTATACTCTATGGAAGATCATTTTTATTTTTATTTATTTGTGAAGACATATATTAATTTATATTTAGCTTGTAAATTATTGCAATTTTCACACACATGGGATATTTTGCTAATAATCCGTTGTTTTCTGTATCTATCTTAGACATTAATGATCTGGTTTTGACATACAGGCATACCACAGAGATCTATTGGAGCACATGACTCCTCCACCAGGTGCCCTAGTTCATCCTCAACCAGCTTCGCTTATAGATAATAAGGCTAGAAGGAATCCAGTGAAGAAGAATCCCACTAAACGTGGTAAAGGAAATAGGAGATCTGGTTCGAGGCGTCATCGTAAAGTCATTGTGGGTAAAAGGGACATCCCAATTTGAGAATATTTTTTTTGCAAATTTATAATTTTTTTTTTTTTTTTGGTTTAGTTTTTCGAATTATTCATAGGCTAATTTTGGCAGTTTAGCAGTCTGTTAGAAGAGAAAAATTGGTTTTTATTTTCATTTTGGAATTGCCAAGTCTAATTGAATATTTTTTTTGTTTTGTAAATAACACAATTCCAAATAATTTTGATACAAGTTATTGTGATTTTCCTTTTTTACATAATGTTGAACAGCTCATCTAGTTGTCATAGACAATCTTTATCAGTAAGAGCAGGTGGAGAAGAAAATATACAATAACGTGATTACTTACAAGTGGTACTTCAGTCAATTAACAATTATGAAAATTTTCAATTTGTCTTGATAACAAGAAAAGGAAAGTTTTGAAAACTCGATTGAATTTATTCAATTTTTTCCATTCAAATCATTCACCATTGGATTAAAAATTAAATCTCACAAATGATATCAATATTGAATTAAATCTCACAAATCATAACAACATTGAATTAAATCTCACAAATCATATGTTATGACAAGCATACTTGTCAAGTTGGAGGTCCTTTATAATCTGGTCGTGTTATGAATTTCAAAAAAGCAAAAACTTAATACAAAGAGAGTGTGACCCACTGGATTAGACTTTAGTGCACCATTAGTACCAATCTTGGCTAGCTTTTGGAACTTTGTTTGGATGCTACATTGGATAGTTCCAAGCCGCAAAAGCAAGGTTTTAATAAACCATAAGCACAAAATACTCAATTAAAAAGGTAATAAAATAATTTGTGATACAATATAATAAATAAAGTAATACATAGAGTGTGAAAATAGGTAATAAAATAAGAGTGAATACTGTTATTTATCATTTTAAAAAAAAAGCAGCACGAATCAGACAGTTGGCTCTATAAAATAAAAGAACTATATCCAAAAAGAATTATTTAATTTATCTATTAAAAAAAATGTTGTAGATAAAATGTAGGCCCATTAACCTTCCTTATATACAAAGATATATAGGCAGATTCAATAATACAAATGATATCCTTTTGGAAGGAGACAAATTAGAGACCAGAAAAATGGGGTTTTCAAGATTTGTGGTATGGAGGGAAGCAATTTCAAATGAATTATTGAAGATCAATAAAGTCATAAATGGTGGGTATGGCATCATCTATCCAAATCAAAGTATCAAACCCAGTATGTAAATAATCCAAAAAATGAAAAAGAGAAAGAAAAAAAATTAAATTTTGCTGTCGTATGATTACCCCACCACCATTAAACGGCAATCCCCAAATATTCTAGATTTCTCATAAATCATAATCCCCTCCAAAAATACCCACTTTTATCAACCCTTCCTAAGTTCTCATCTCGTTTGGATCTCCCTCAGTTTTACATGAAGACGGTTAGGGTTTTAGTTTCCGAGGCTTCTTGGATCTCTCTCTTTTCCTTTGATGGGTTAGTAGACTGAAAGGTGAGACTGAAGTGTTCAAGGGTTTTGTTGATGAGTAATCTGGAATTGAATGTGAGCTCCATTTAGGGTCCTGATCAGTGGGTTTTAACTTTCATTTATGATGATTGTATAAATTTGGAGTTTAATGTGTAATCCTCTTTGAAAAATCACTGAAATTTGGCTTAATTTATGTTTAGTTTATTTGTATAATGCTGAGAAAGTTGGGGTTAGGGTTTATATCAGTTAATTGATCTGGCTTCTCTGGAATCATGCTTTGATGGGTTCTTGTAGTTTATTTGTATAATGTTGTGAAAGTTGAAGTTAGGGTTTTTATCGGTTGATTGATTCGACTTCTCTGGAACCATACTTCGATGTATTGGGGTTAGCTTTCATTGTTGAGATAAATTGAAGCTTGTTATTGTGTTGAAGTCTTGAAGGGAGAAATCAATTTAAGGTGTTCAATGGGATCTAGTTTCTTCCTTATCTGTATTCTCCATTCTGTGGTAGCTCTGACTTCTGGAGCTCTGATGATGTTCAATACCAATGATGTTTTTGTTTTTGGCCATGCCATTGAAAATGAGAGTAAGCTTTTGGGGTCAACGCCTCATGATCAGCTCCTGATTCAGACCTCGGATTCATTTTCCGGGTTGCTTTTGTTTGCAATTGGTTTTCTTCTCTTCATGGTGGCATTTGTCAAGGACAGAGAGTTCCAGAGCTTCTTTGCTAAGGGTTGTGTAATTATTCATGTTGCCATGGCAATTTGGAGGGTTTACTTTGAGAGGAAGCTTGGAGATCTTGCCCATGATTGGTTGAGGCAGGTTGCTGGAGACATTGCCTTGGCCCTTTCATGGGTTTTTGTTCTTGTGTACTCGTGGAGAGAGAAGTATGATTAATCAAATAGCTGAACTGCAATGTATCTGTAATCCTTAAGTTTTAGCTAGCTGAGTGACATTTCTAAATGGAATTGTATCTGGAGACATTGGATGAAACTGATTTAGGACAGCTTTAAATTTGGTGTTGGAGTGGTTTCTGCTCCACTATGTTGAATTCTGCTGGGTGCTGAATTGAAAGAGAGGCGAAAACAAAGCATGGATAAAATCCTTGGTTTGTGGGTTTGTTTGAATATTGTTTAACATCTTGCATGTTCTTCTTTGCGAAAAAAAAATGAAGACTGCGCAGCTGGAATCAGGGTTAGCATGTTTCTTGAATTTTAGCTAGATTATGGGAGATAAGTGTAGCTGCTTTTCATGTTGTGAATGGAACATATTGCTTCTGTTGCCTTTGTATAATTGTTTCCTTGTAAGTTTCCTTCAAATTAAATGGACAATATGGTCCTTGACCTCTGCTGTTAGCTCTTACTCTTAGTTTCTTGGCTAATTGTTGCTTACTTTTGTGCTGATAGAAGTGTATAACTGGATAATGGATGAATCACTCAATCTTTATATTATCTGTATAAACTTGTGCAAATAACAAAAAGGGATGTATAATACATGAAGATCAATTTTGACTCTCATGACAGTTCACTAAACTAGTTTATAAGTAGCCATTCAAAACTAATAATTTCATGGTAGCAAACTTGATATGAGATTGGGCATATTGTGGTTTATGATCTTCCACAGCTTCACATCTTTCTCATTTATCCTCTTTGTCATGAAAGCTATCCCAATTACATCATTCGCTTTGGACATAAAACAATATTTGATAATTACCCTTGTTTATTTATATATATTTTTCACAGTCATGTTTCATTCACTTTCAGCTGAGTTGTTTCATCTTTGAATTAAATGACTGGAGTCCATTTTACATTTTTTGGGTAGGAAAGAGAAAAATTAATCCAAAATGCTGGGATATTAGCAAGTCACTTTCTTGGAAGTTCAAGTTCATTTGTCTCACTCTACTGTGATCCAAAATTTGCTATAGTAGCAGCAGCAACATTATTTGTTTCCTCTTATGCATTTTAATGTGATCCAAAATTTTAGGGCATTGCAGCCAGTTACAAATGCTACTTTGATTGTGTTAGATTTATCATGCCTCGTTTGACATTCACTACAGATAATATAATTGACGAGTGCAACGTAATTGATGTACTCCACAGCTACACGTACCAAAAAATTTATATACACATATAATTCGTAGCTTCCAAGAAAATTTAAGGCATTGGCGTTTGGCTAAAAGGCCATTGATTCAGAAGAGTTCTCTCACCACTTTATCATGCACTTGAACATTATTATGTAGGATAGAGGTCATTATTTGTGCAATGCTAAAAACTCAAACTAACAAGTATGAGAACATGTGTCAAGTCTTGAGGCAGTCAGCTGGTGCAAAATAATACCAAAGTTAAGTCTATACTGGTGATCTAAAGCATTTCACGTGTGCCGGACATATACTGGTGATCTAAAGCATAGTTTTGCTAAAGTCTAGCTTAGCAGCTGAAACATTAAAGGATTGAATGACCTCTGAAATGTTTGAGAAAAAGTTGGTTTGAGTGATTATGATATTATGATACTATCTTCACAAAATGTTTGTTTCTCTTGATCGGGTAGGTAGCATCTGGACATAGGATCATGAAATTTTAACTTTCAGTGCCACTAGTATATTAGCATACGAGCTATTGTTATTTGAGTGGAAATTAAGACACCAGCAGCATGTATTTTGATTTTGGATGCTGCTTTTGTTTTTGTCCTAAATGAGCAAGCATATGGAAGGGAGCTCTGGGGTCTCAATACATCCTTCTACTCTGGTGATTAAAGAACGGTGGGCTATAATGGGAGACTTTTATGTTATTAAAAACTCTTCTGAAAGAAAAGGAAGCATGGGTATTGATTATGAGGTAGCTAGAGAATTCGGTGAACGCAATAATGAGACATTTTTGGAAGTGATTCGTTATGGGTAAAATGGTGTCACTCCTATATGATAGGCATAATTCCAGTTCCATTATTATTGTTGTTGTTGGTAAATGTTTGAGGATGTTGCAACAGCTGAGAAAAGAAGTCAAAGGCTTTGTTACATGAAAACCAGACTTTCTTGTGACATGATAGCTGACATATATCATTCTTGGTGCCTTTGCTTGAGAGTTATGGTAAATATTTATATATGATTTTGAAAAGTCTGGACCTAGCCTATGTTTGTTTAGAGAAAATGGTGAGGAATGAAAAAGAGCGAGGGATGAAACAAGTTTCCATTGTTTGATAGAGGAGAGAGTAACAATGAAGGATCAATGAAGGATCCCTCGATTCCCTCAGAGTCTACCATTTTGCTTTCATCCAAAAGTAGAAGGAAGAGGAGAGAGAAGAATGAAAATTTGTTGAATAGAATTAAAAAAAAAAAAAAAAAAAAGTTGTCAATATTTAAGCACATTTATTTAAATAATTCAGGGTATAATGGTAAAATAATACTATTACTTCTCTCCTTCCCTTTTAATCAACCAAACAAAAGGAGGGATGGGCAGTTGGGCACTCTCCCTCCCCGAGGAATGCCTCTTCCATCGTTCATCATATTCATGCCTCCTATTTTTCCAACCATCGTACCAAATAAATCATAAGTTTATCCTTATTTGGGATAGCAGATAGAGTTAGCTCATAGCCAGTCATCTTGCTAATTGAATAAATTCTTATACTCCATACGAGCTACTGTCCAGGAATGTTGCTGATAAGGTCATTGTCTGCTAATAGAAACACATACACTTAAGTACATGACTGCTTGGAGTGTTATTAGAGGCTTTTTTTTTTTTTTTTTCAAATGCCTTCAGAGGCTGAAATCTAGAAGGTCAGCAACTCTGTTCCAAAGTTTTCCTTCACTCTGTAGTTGGTTTGTAGGGATAGGCTATCCACTAGAAACCCCAAGGGGTTAGCCTAGTTGGAAAAGATTTGGGCCCTAGTACCTCATGAAGCATCGGGTCTCAGGATCGATTCATGCTAGGTGCAACCAATTCCTTGGAGGGGGTATGTGAGTACCAACTAGGAAAAAAAGATAGGCTATCCACTAGAGAATAAACTTCAGGAATGGGGCATTATTGATCCAAATCACAATATGCTCTACATCAGGAGCAGAGAGTCACTGGATCACTTATCTTATATCGACTTACTTGCCTCGTGCACTAACAGGGGGAACTCTCTCTTAATGCTTTACACTTTTGAGTATTTCTTAGTAGTTTTTATATGAGCAGAGCAAGTTTTTAATTAAAGTTCATCTTTGCAGAAAAATATTTGGTTCTGGATACTATCTGGCTTTTAGATTTTTGAAATTGAATCCCTTTCCCCTACAAATATTTCCTAGGTTCGGGGATCATCATTCGCTCTTTTCTTTATCTGCACCTGCAGCCTCCTTTAATCTTCTATATTCTCCAGGGACTGGAGATTGAGGCTCATCTGAAATGCCTCCATGCTGAAGGATTCAATGTTTGAAAACGGTTTAGAAAGCCAACTTGATAAAATGGAAGATGACACAATTTTGTCTAACAACCTGTTTATTTCATGATTATGCATAGACCAGATAGTCAATATCTCATTGGAACTCAGCAATATATCAAGGAAGGCAGCTTCTTTTGACTGTTACTTGCAAATTATATGTTCACTTGTTTATTTTCAAATTGTAAGCTTGCTGTCTCTTTATTATATAAACACAACAGTTAAAAACACTTAAACCTTATACTAATTATTGAGAAGCATGCATATTGGGATCATCATTCGCTCTTTACTTGATCTATTTATTATGTATTAGTGGATGCTCCAATATGCATGCTTCTCAATAAAGATAAGTTCAGTATGTGTTATGCCCGCTCCAAAACAGTTCTGGACTTCTGCGTTGACAAAATGCTTCCTGGCTATGAGTATTTATGCTCCCCCAAGAAAACATGACATCTGATAAATTTCAACTCTTGATATACTGATCTTATCTACCGGGAAAACACACACACACATGCGCACACTCTTGATAGACTTATCTGTTGAGACTTGAGATCCCAGTTACCAGCTATATAATGAATGATTAGGAGGACAACAGGAGCAAAGTATTAGTAATAGTAGTCCATTTAACAACACCACGCCACAGAGGTGACCATTACAGTGCTATATGAAAAGGAAACACATACATGGTTGAAACTCACATTTCACACAACAATCACCAGAAGGAAGCACTAAACAATAGACACACAACTTATTCACCACAAGGACACAACCACATTATTATAGATCCCCATAGTTCACCTACATCACAGTATTTTATGCGCTTACTGATCACAGGTGCAATTCACACAAGCGCAGCTGGGGCCACACTTGCACTTGCCACTGCCACTGTGCTCAGCTGCTGGAACATCCATGACAATAGTCGAGACGTAGCTGCAAAAGTAAGACATCGATCATCATCATCTATTAGGTAATGTTTTGATTATGGAGTCTTGAAATGTTTATATCCATATTAAATAGTGGGCAGAGTTGTAGATGTATAATTTTATTTATTTATTTCAGTGTGTTCTGATCATATCCACTATATGATGGTTCATGTGACAGAGTATTAGAAAAGTTTAGAGTATCTGAAAAGATATTTTTATCTGTTTTGCATGCCTTTTCACAAGAGTTGATTGACTGCCTTGGATCCATTAGATGTTATATACTTGGACCTTATTCTTGTTTGCAAAGCAAAAGGTACTGGTGCAATTTTTTCAAGTATGATGCTTAAAGATGCCCTATTAGATTCTTCATTTTCCTCTAGTTTTGTTATTATTATTTGAAAAAACTATAAGTTCATGTGGCTCCATGTTTAATTCCACTATGACGTGCCTTTGTACACCAAAGAACTGATTTAATTAAGAACAATGTTTTTTGCCAGTCTGGTGAGAAATGTTGCATCAATCGCATCCCAAACATATTCAACGATGATGTTGGACAGTGTTGTGTCGTGTCGTGTCGTGTTGTGTGTCATCTCTTGTTTCATATCATTAAAGAAAATCCCTTACTAAGGGCATAGTCAAAAGAGACTTCAAATAAGAGTGGCTCCTAAAAGTTATCATGTTAATCTAATGTGCAGGAAATAGAAAACGAAGATCTTTTATTTGGTTTTCTGAAATATCAAGAATTCTTAAGCAATGAAGGTACCTCCTCTCAGTCTCAACAACATCCATGGTGTAGCTGCTTCCCTTTTTCCTGCAATTGCAGAGCATATAATTTTAATTACTTAGTAAAATTTGATCAAATTCTCGGAAGGTAGGTAAAATTTTATGTAAGAAATCTGCTCAAACAGTAATCTTTGACAGGAAATGATCTCAACTATTATTGTAGGTTTCCTAGGTTGACATAAAACTCTGAATACTTTGGTCCCAAATTTGAGATATCATTTGAGAATTCGGCAATAGACTTTATTTCTTGCATTTGTTCAGATCATTATTGGAAAGAATCGGGGTTTAATCAGAATTTAACTAAGTATAGGATAATAGTTCAACTTAAAATTAAGATAAGAGCCTCCATCATCAAATATTTATAAAACTGATTCAGTTGTGGCCGCAGCCCATACAATTCAAGATATGGGCAGAATAATGAATTCATAAGCTCTGTAGTCCTACTGTGTAACTTATAAGATGGACCAAACTTTTTTTTTTCTTAATTGGTACTCACACACACATGCCTCCACCGAGGACCAAACCCCTGACCTCCCTTTGGGAAGCAGGGATTTGGTACCGCTAGGCCACTGGCCTATTGGTAAGAGGACCAAACTTTAAGATAGTGTCACCCTATTATGTTACTTATAGTAGCTAATAGTTAGAAATATGTATCTTATTACAATAGTCCCAAATACTGATACTAAAAAAACTTCTAGCAGTCCATAACAACATAATAACATCCTTTGTTTTGGGACATGTATTTTTAATTTATTATTAGTATAATTAGTGTACTTGTTGGGGCTCAAACTCTCAACCTCCCCTTTGGAGAGGAGAGATCATACCATATGGACTAGAGGCCAGGTGGTTGTTTTGGGATATATTTGATCAGTCTCATAAAACATGTTCAACTGAATTACAATATATAGCTTCAAACTATAAAAGACTTAGCTTGATAACCATGCATGAAGAAATGCACACACAACACACACAATACACATATAAGTTATATAACCATGTTGCAAGAATATCATGAAGAAGTACTCAGAACACTTACACGCACTGGCTTTTGTCAGTGCAACTGCAGCCGCTACAGAGGTCCGACATGGCGAGTATAGGAAGTTAAACTGAACAGAGGAAATGGAGCTTATAGAGGAGTTGTTATGGCTGGTATGAACTGCTATATCTCCATGGTGTGTGCTTTGGTATGTATTTATAGATGGAGGCCTGTAATGGAGCAATTGATTGGGGCTTAGTGTAGGACACACGTATGGGTCAATGTGGGTCCCAGAAGGCATGAGAGGAGCACACGCCTCTGTGAGAAAAGTCCGAAGGAATCTTTATAATGGAGGGTTGGCCTCCTGTCCTCCTCTCATGTCACCATCTCTCGTTTTTGGAACACACACTGTAGATATATCTTCTCTAACTTGGGAATTGACAAGATTGTTACCTTCAGTGACTCTAATGGTAAGAACTTCCCTCCCATGTTTAGATAAGTCTTTGACTAGTTGGCAATGAACATGATTATCAATGGATTGAGTTTGGTTTGCATGTATATATATATATTTTTTAAAATAAAATAAAATTGTATATGTGTGCAATTGCATCTGTTTATTTATTCTTAGTCTTTCTGTTTTCTCATAGCATGTTTTTGAATTTCACAATTAGCCAAAGATTCAAATTCATGGGCACAGAAAGATATGGTATTTGGCATGATAATGGAAGAAACTGATTATATATACAGAACTTTTCAGGCCATTTTTCAAATGGAAACATAGGAAGATAACTTTATAATGTTTGTTTTTTATGAATGCTTAGTAAATAAATTTGACTATCATTTATTAAATTACAATAATTTATTAAATTTTGTATATATTGATTAAGAATAAAAAAGAATAATATCCTCCTACTCAAATTAATATTGTTTCAACCAGAGAAAATTGTCCCTTTTTTTCTGTGATATAAAGCATTTATTTCAGTGAGAAGACATCCTTAAAGCTGACTTTCTCCATTGTATAATTTTTGGACAATATTGAATAAACCACTTGAGTTTGGATTTTGGGTTTTGTTTGGAGCATCAGAATTTGGTCATTCAACAGCAAGCAATAGTTGAATTGGTCATGAAAAATGCTCCTTTTGTGGCCAATATGTAAACAAAGAATATATATGCATCTGGCCAGAAATGAAGTCAACAACCAAAAATCTGTTTGGAGCTCCAGGAAATTGTACATACACATGGAACCAAGTTAGGTTGGATTGATTCACCCAAAAAAAATAAATAAATAAAAGGTTGGATTGGTCCAGTATGTTACATGATAAAGAAGTTGAGCTTTGACTGTTAGGTTTTTAAAGTTTGTTCTCTTGATTAATAGAACTACATCCAATAATGGTGATGAAACTTGAAAAATCACTCCATTGTTTGCTTCTCCAGGAGGATGTAGCATTTTGATTTTGTTTGAAAAATGTTGGTCTCTTCACAGGTGAGGAGGATTCACCATCGAGGTGACGTAGTGATAGAATGAAACGTGTCTATTTTGAATTTAAAATAAGTAAGACAAATTTTTTTAAAAAATAAACACATTATCATATGATTGTCACTTCACTGTCTTATTATTATATTTTGTGGACAATTAGTGCTCCAATTTGTTATACGTACGGAGGCACAAATGCCATGAATGATGGCCATCCGAATGCTTGAGATAAGCACCAATGCATGGGCAAATAAGGTTTGATGATAAATGTAGCATCGATAATTTTCTTCTTTCTTTTATTATTATAATTTTTCCTTGGCTTTAAATAAAAGAGGAATTAAATAATGAATTTTGAGTGTAAATCCAAAAATGCCCAACATTATTTTCATTTTGGGGGCTATAAAAATGAGATTGGAACAAAACAAAAACACTTTTGATGGTTGTAGAGTAATTGCTTCTCCATGTACTCAACCTTTCAAAACACTTTTGTCAAGCAAAGCGTGGCCTTACATTTCATGCTTCCATTATCCTCAAGAGAGCAATTAAAATCATGGCTGTCTTCTTCAAACCCTCTCCACTTTCTCTTTCTCTTCCAGACAAGTCCAAATCATAACTTTGATTTATTGCACAAAAATCTCAACTCCATTGAACCTCATTGGTGTATCAGTTGGCCGGCTAGCCTAAATCATTTCAAACCCAATGTGGCGTCCAAATCCAGTTGGAGGTAAAAAGTTAAAAACTCAAGAAACAATAATTTCACATCCTTTCATGAATATGCTTGGACTTTGAAATGACTAGAATATAGATTACCTACTTCATAAGACTTGAAGGTTATTGGCTTTCAATTATTTTAAACAAAAAAATATCTCCACCGCTCATATCAAATCGATCTACTTTTACTTTTTATTTTGGGTGAGGTAAAATATATATATATTTTAAGTAAAATATACGCGCGCGTGTGCATATTATTTTTTGACATTTGATAAAAGTCTAAGCCGAGGTTGAGGTCGAACTCATCAGGTGAAGCGTGTAAAATAACTTATTAAAAATTAATGAATAAGTTATTTTTGTTATGTTTTAATAATATTTTATGACAACCAAACATCACCAAAAAACATTCTACGCCGGAGGCTTAATCATACCTTCCTCCACTACGGAGTAATTAAAGATGCTAAATCGAATAGTTTTGATTGGTTATATATGCAAAATATGCTAAACCTGATAGCTTTAATTGATTCTATATGCTAAATATAATTAAAACAGACCCAGTTTGATGTATGTTGCAAACTTGACTAATTTTTGCAAGTAATTATCTTTTAACTGTTCGGTCTAAGTAGCATTACTCATTCATCTAAGCAGACTATTGCACTATTGCACCAGGATTAATTTTTACATAAACGATTAAAAAATCACCATGTTTACAACTTTGGTGGGGTAAGCATTCCATTCATGACAACGGCTTTCAGCATAAAATCTCAAGTGGGTATCCATTAAGCATGGTGTGCAGAGTCCAATACATAACAACCTATCTTTGCGTACACATCTCAGTTCCAAGCCTGTTATGGAGGTTTGCAAGAGAAGGATACATGCATGCATTATTATAAGTAACTCAAGCTCATACAAACATATAGTAGAGCCACCTATTGCAATACAATATTGGAAATATTTGATTAAATATCTCAAAACCACAGAGACGTTCATGACACTCCAATCAACCACACTGGTAACCATAAAATCTTGTTTTAAGACCTTACTTGAACGGACAAGGATCTTCTCCGTGTCTTTTTCGGTCCAAGCCCTCACTAGAGTATACCACACACAAAGCACCGTGTTGTATGGCTGTCCGATAAAGGCTCGGATGGAAAAAGGATCAGAGAAGAACCGAGTCCTGAACAGACGAAGAAAACTCTCTCCTGGATGAACAAAGAAAACACTCAGCAAAAAGAGAGATACAAATTCACGCTTACATCCAGTCAATGATATAACAGTAGGAAAAAAGAGAAAAATAAATTTGTGAAGTGAAGATACAAAACTGTGGTTTATGCATAAATCTTGAGAAGTTGGGATGAGAAGCGCATTTCCACTCTAATATCGGACTATGTCCTGAAGGCAATCATAGAAATGAGCAATGTTGATTTTCTCTGTACCCGAATATATGGCTTCTGCTCCCCCGCCTTGTTCGCCTTGGGCGGCCATTTCAACTACCATGTAGAGCTTTTTGATTGGCATCTATAACACATTAAATAATCTAAGAGTGAGAAATCAAATCTTGTCATCTCAGTTCTTCTTGCCTACTCAGTGAACCTTTCCTAGTTCTATAACTTTATTCTGGTGTAGGCATTATGAATAGCTGAAAATGTTGTTTCTTTGGGAGGAGGGGAGGGGGACACAGAGAGAGCGGAGAGAGAGTAATGCTTACATCATTAAGGGCCTCGGCAGCGGCATCAATGTCATCCTGGGCAAAAACATTTATCTGCTGTAACACCTGTAGGGAAAGGAGAAAGATCATAAACAAAATAAAATCTCAATATACAGCATGTCATAAACTTGCATAGAATGATCCATCCACATTAATCAGTAATAGAAAATGAGAAAATGGATAACAGAGGCATAAAAAATAAGTAAATTAAATCATTGGTACGAAAATGAATATGATGTGTTCGTAGACGAAGTGTCTTGACATTCATGAGCAACCCATTACCCTAGGAGAAAAGTGATAATAGATTATAGATGTGCTTCTCCAGAAGAGAGTATTAATCTTTCATACTTCTTGCCTATATTTTAATAAAACAATGTAGATACCACAAATATATATATTTTTTTTGTAACAAGGAAACCTCCCAACCTGGTGACCTTTGGTATGTAGATACAACAATTTTGTTTATCAAGCATACATGTGGACATGTAAATAACTAATTTATCTCACACATGCACACAAAAAGGAATCAGAGGATCCTAAATAATAAGAGGCGCCTTATGATTTTCAGGCCCTAAAAGTGGTTCTTGATGGCTTTAATACCCTCACAAAACGTCTCACAAACAGGAAAAATGAGAAAAAACATCATCTTGAGTTTAAGAAGGCTGTTGATTTTGACCATTATCAAGAAGTTGTCGATAATTTTACTCAGTTGACTAAGTTTACCCAGTTACCTGTTCAGAGATTAAATAATAATAGCCCTGACTATAATGAAATGATAAAACAAATTCATGCATCATTTTTTTTTTTTGATAAGTATGCATCATTATAGATATAAACAAGTTCATGCATGAAACATAGTATAATAAGGCCAGCTAAATGATGGCAAATGGATACAATGATTTACCTTTTTAGCATCTTCTGTCTTTAATGTCGGAACATGGTACGTGACAGAAAAAGAATTACAAATGCCAATTGAATCCAAGAAATCCACCTCACTTGTAGTCCCAATTACCAAAACATTTTTCCCCTGAAGAGTTGTATAAATAAGAAAAAAATAAGAAAACTTCTTCAGAAAAGTTGGTGCACAATATGTTCATCATCATATAACAGCCGAAGAATAAGCCTTCACAGATAAGCCAAAAAAAACTGATCAATGACAACTTTGCCATTACAACTCTTCAGTACACCAAATCCATCTAACCTATGCAGGAATGGACTATTACTATAAAAACAGTTATTCAATTATTCCTAGAAAGGAGGGAGGGAGGGCGGAAACTAGAATCTTTTAGAGCTGAGCTAGGGTGAAGCCCATGCTGGGACTAAATAAATTGAGAATATATTTCAGAAAAACCTTCGGAGGAAACCGCTTGAGGAGGACCAACAACGTCTGAGAAATTATATTTGAAAAACGAGGTCCAATTGCAACATACTCCAGTAGCCTGCACCAAGGAAAACCAGAGACACCAATGATAATAATAGAGGCAAACGGAAATAAATCATCAACACATCAATCAATATCAGCAGGAGTCACCTTTCAATGTCATCAAGGACAATTACGCTTAATGGCGATTTATAAGCATCCTCAAACACCTTGACAATCTGGGCACATTTACTGCTTTCACTGAGCCCAATCATTGATTCAGCAGAAATCTATCCATGGGTAAAAGAACCAAAATCAGAAACATGAGAGACAGAGAGAGAGAGAGAGAGAGAGAGAGAGAGAGGAGGTGGGGGAATTAATGTTCCATGGGAATGGTCAACTGCACCATATGAGAAGGTACTTACAATCTTGACATAGGGAAAATCGCTGTCAATACCAACAGTAGCTGCCAGTGCAGTCTTACCACTGTCCAAGACAATAATGAGTTAGAGAAATGATATTTAATAAAAATAAAAATTAAAAATAAAAAGGCACTAACCTGCCACCTGGGCCTTCCAGAAGACAAGTAACAAGTGGGCTTCCTTTGCTCACCCTTACTTGCTCCGCCAGTAGCATAGTTCTTTTGTAAATGTGCTCATGTCGTCCTCCACAATCCACCATGCCATTCAGTCTGCAAGTAACATTTAGTTGTTTGAAGGTGAACATTATTGGAATAAGAAAATCGACCTGCTTTAGAAAAGCAAACTTGTTTGAGCTATATAATTGCACTAGAATAAACATGGCATGCCCAAAGCATTTATATGATACAGCATGATTTGAAAAAAATATTCAACAGAAAATCATGGACCTCTGTCTAATTTCTCAATTAGTTTTTCATTTAATCTGAAAGGAAGGTTTTAAGTTGGAATAAGATGTTCATAAAATAATTTCAAGAGAGAGGGAGAAGTAAAATCATCTTAGAAATAACAGAAACAAAAGGTGCACCATAAGCTCTGACGAGTCTCGTGAATGTGAGGGAGGGTATTGCATCTAGTAAAGTAGAACTAGCTTTATTTATGGATCTCACTGTAAGGAATCACAATCATCACATTGTTTGTAAATGTTGGTCATGATATTATATTAATACACCAAAAACTCTTAAACATACAAGTAGTATCAATACTAGTTTAAGCAAATAAAATATATTGACCCATTACATATTCCAATGACTCATCATACTTCCCATTGCACTTGTTATCGTATGTCAGATTGACTCTCTTGTCTGATGCAGGTCACAGCTTCAGTAAAAACAATCTTTACCAGGCTAATAACTGTAACCTTAAACGCAAATATCCTTGATAGCTAGAAGTAATTATACCTTTTGATAGGTAAGGAAGAAAAGAAAAGAAATCTCCCCACCACATACGCCTCCTGTGCTTACTACTGCTATTCAACGTCAAACTCAAGAGTTGGCTAAATAAAGCCCTAGCATCTTTTCTGAACAGCACTATGTATTTCCAATACACACAAGAGAGACATTAATGTATCTAGCACCAGTACATGCTCCACTTTAGAAGTAACAGACCAACTTGAGTCAGTACCACGTGGAATCCCATGAACAAATCCAGGAAAATGCAAAAAGAATCTATCTCCAAAACCGCTGCACTAGGATGTTCAGCTCCTATGGCTTTCACACCACACTTTCACCACAGTGCCACCTAGAAGGAAGGAGGTGCCCCCACCAACTTGTGCACAATTATTACCTGATTTGTGTATCACACTACATATGTTCTTTGGTGGGTCCACCAACCAGCAAACCAAAATTGTATTCCATTTTGCTATTGACTTGTAGGCCAATAGTTTGTGACACCCTCAGTTCTTGTGATAGGCCACAGTGCACACATTCCAAATTTCCAAAAAAGAGCCTATGAAGCCTCAAGGCCCTCAACTGGATGGGCTATACTCCAAACTATGATCTCAGGATTCCCCACTTAGCACTCATCTAGGATCTCCACAATAGCTTGGCACCTTCATTTTTGATAGATAATAAGCTTCAAACACTGAAACCAATCCCACCATTTGGAATCTATGTCAGCACTTCCTGTGCTACAATGGCTTGGGTGCCTTCTTTTTCTTTTGGGTCCAACAGTGTGGTCTACGTACCATAATCAGATGAGCTCTATCTAGCAATTTTGAGATCAAGGTCTAATTTGAGATGGAAGAATGATAAAGAAAGTACTACGAAATTCTAAGGTTATCATAGCAGAAAGAGCAACCGTTGAGTTAGATGAATCCATATAACAAATTAACAATGCAAGGAAAACTCTGAAACTTGGTGCTACCTGCAACGTTCAAGGTCATCTGTAGAAGCTCCAAATGCAGGAATAATTTCTTGAAGGGCATTCAAGAAATCATCCATTGTGACTTTTATACTTTCTTCATCCACAGGCTTAGTGAGGTCATCCATGTTTAATTGTCGGTTCAAAGCAAACGATACTGCACTTTTTACAACACCTTCAAGTTCTGCTCCACTGAAATTCTTTGTCCGAGCAGCTGCAACCAGAAAAAAGACATTCCTCTAAAATATGATACTAATTAATTCACTAAACACAAACCATTTACATTTTTAATACATTCTCATGTGGCATATATTTCTTATTTTGGCGAAGAAATAATAGTGAATACTGTTTCAACTACTACACTCTGTATTGACAATCTTTACCATTAAAAAAGTACATGCTGGACCACATCCAATCAGTGCATATATATTGGAGAATAGGATAGTTTATCAATTCAAGATATTAATATCAAAGCAAATCTGAGCACTAGACCATTTAAGTTGGAACTCGTGCAGCGATGTCATCCACATAAGTATCAAGGAAGCAGGAAGTAAGATGCAAATACAAAAGATACGGTTCCATGTGTCGAATTTAGTATTGTTATTGCCATTGGTACAAGAAGGGATCAAACAATAGATGCAATCAGGAAAAACAAGTTGCAAAAAATAATAATAGTAATAATTCATGAGAAAGAAAAAAAAAAAAAAAAAAAGTACATAATGATTTCACTACAAATGCCAATTTCACTAAAAGATGGCAAGGGTCAAGGTCAGCCTGTGAGACGATGGGGGTTAGGCTTCATTATCGAGAGGGAAACAGCCCGGATCACCAGCTTAAGCCCCTAAATGACCACTCAGTGATAAAGGAGGTAAGGAGGGAATTAACACATGATTCATGTACACAGGAGGTATGAAAGAGTAAAGCACTTGCACAGCCCATGCTCAAAGAACTGAAAAGCTCCCGAACCGACTTTGCAGTAATTAATCTACTCCAAACAAAGACAGAAGAATATTCCACAGCACCCATGATCCATGTGACTGACCAATGCATACAAGGTGATTGACACACTCTATCATCGACTTGCACATGCAACACCTGCTAGTCAAAATAGTACCCTTGCTCCTCAAATTTTCAATGGCCAATGACTCAATGTCTTCCCAAGCTACAAAGAAAGCAAAAACCCCCTCCTTAACTAAAAGTCCAAAACCTTCTCGTTGATACTCATTCCGGGGGAATCAAATAGTGCCCCGCTACATAGCTCCAAGTAAACAAATCTATAAAGAACTTCCCAATCTTGGTCTTTCCCTCCCTAATAGAAATCTCATACATCCTTTCCAAAAGAGAGTCAATAGTGCTGATTAATCATGCTAGTTCGTAATCAATTGGCTTAATAATCACTCTTATTCTACAGGGCCAACAAAAGGCCTCGTATCATTTATTAAAAAAATAATAATAATAAAAAAAATAAAAAAATCATTGAAAAAACAATCAAAATTCTTTCTAAGTTCTCTTACTGGTGAAAAAAATAGAACATTGTTTAATTCATGCCAATTGGAATGGACCACATTGTTAACTAATGATATTGCCAAAACTCATATGGCAAAACTGAGCCTACACTTCCTAAAAAAATAAATGAAAAGTAATTTTACCTTTCCAACCACAAAAAAACACAAATATGAAAGATTTTTCCAGACAAAGACATCCTAACTAATAACTCTTGAATCTAAGATTCTACAATCTGAGATAAAGAGGTTACCAGGCTATTTTATAGGGGAAGAGGACTGTTTGAAGGATAACTACCATAGCAACAACAATAACAAAATGACAGGATTCATAACTCACGTACCAAGCTCTTGCAAGTTAACATCTGGAGCAAGAAAAGAATTTTCTTTCATCTTATTTGTGTGAATTAGAAGAATTTGTAAGCGACCATTCTCATCAGGAAGGCTGATCTCCACTTGGACTTCCAAACGCCCAGGCCTAGAAACCAAATGAAAAATTAAGGGTAAAAAAATTGGGACAATTAAGAAAATTTCACTTAAAAGATTCCCAACAACAAGCAACTCTACATCCAGCTATAAGTTATAATTTAGCACAAGACGGAAGTGGTACAAGATATAAGTTTCACCTCAAAAGCGCTTCATCTAGCAAATCCTTTCTGTTGGTCATCCCGATAAGCAAAACATTATTCAGAGACTCAACACCATCTATCTAAATAGCAAGCAATTTCCAATTAGTTACTGTCATTTGTAAGCCAGGTGCACCACCAAATGACTCAAAATCTCCCAATTCATTCAACCACACAACTTGAGACCATTAAACCAACCTTCGTGAGGAGTTGGTTAACAATACTATCATGAACTCCAGTACCATCTCTAGTGGAACCTCTTGACTGCAAATGTGAACCAAATGAATAAATTGCATAACCAAATAAACTTTAAATAAATCAATTTATTGACAGGTGGCCATTAATGACAATTAACAAATAATCATAAGGCCAGGACAAGACCAAAGATATTGCAGCATGCCTAACAAATACATTAGCTCATAGAAAATTAAAAGAACAGATGAAGAAAAAATTTAACAAAATATTACCAGCAGCATAGAAGGAGCTTAAATCAATACGATTCCAGTCAAAATGCCTTGAGAGAGTATAACAGAGCAACGGATTTGACCAACTATGAAAACTATATGTAATTATAAATTGAATGAACCTAAAAATTGTTGGGATTTGGTTTGCTGATAGAACAATCAAAAGTTAACAGTTGTCAACAGAATAACATTCTCAAAAGATTAATCGTTATATAAATGTCAGCTAATAAAAAACTTTTGCTTGAGGTTCATGTTCTGGACTATATTATTATAATGAAAAAAAATTATATTTAAAAATACTGTTTTGTTTCTCAATCTATTTCCATCTGAAACTCAAACCTCCAAGGTTCTAATCAACAGTTACTTTCATGGTGCAACAACAAAAGTTAAACGTGCAACACAGAATTACTTTAGCTTCAAGAGCTTTGAAGGCTCATACCTTACAGATTGCATCAATTTCATCAAATATGATAACATGCAAGTCACTTTGATCACCTGAAGAGAATTCCATAAAAATGATGATATGTAAGTCACATTGATCAGCCGAAGAGAGGGAAAGAAAGTATTATATAAGGACAAAAGAAGCAAATCTGCCCACTATATACATCTTGCCTCGGGTTCTCTGGTCTTGTTCGGCATCAGCAAATAAATCCCTCACATTCTTCTCAGTTTCACCAACAAATTTGCTTAACACTTCAGGCCCATTGACAATCTAGAGTTGACACAATGATTGAACAAATTAAGCAAATATAAGTAGGAATTTACTGAGATAAATTGAGGAGAGGAGAAGAGCATGACATTAGCACATATATGAAAAAGATTGTTTAATCAGCTTTCAGACCTTCAAAAACCATAAAGAAATGAGTATGTATTGTGGCATGGCTGGACAAGACAGACACACATGTTCAGTTTCAAGTTAGCAACAGCCTGAAGCTCACAAAAGTGAGTTGTGGGTTGTCACTTGCCTTTGTGTACAAAATCTCAAGAACACTATCATTAAAATATAAGGAAGTGAGGAAAATAGCAACTCTAATATATAGGTTAAGACGCAATGCAAGCAAGATGCAATCATCCGAATCATCCCTACACTTGTTTAAGAAGCGAGAAAGATGGAAGTGGAATTTTTCAATATTGAAGGCCAAAATAATTATACATCAAAAAGGTTAATGTCACAATTTTTATCTTCAGTGAACATTTAACTAATAAATACTCACACACAAGATTTAACTAATTCCTATCATGAAAAGTATCTTATAACACAACCACAATAGCCTGTGGCATTTAAATACCAACAACCTATGAATGCTTCAGTTATATACCTTTGGATCCTTTCCATTCAACAATTTTCCAATCTGGCGAGCCATTAGAGTCTTTCCAGTACCAGGAGGTCCATAAAGCAGCATTCCCTTTACATGTTTGATGCCCAGCCTGAAACATATAATTTTTTTCCATCACAAAGCATAAGTGAATAAGTATTCTATCCATATATTTTTTAAATCAAAAGGTAAAGATGACAAAAAATTTGCAAGAAGACAACATTACTTATTCGTCACATGTGGAGGAAAAACTCTAGAGGCAAAAGCTCTTCGAAATATATCTGCAAACTCCGCACTTAAACCACCTATACCCAGTGACTGAAGATTAAACTCTTTCTGCTTGAAGATGTTGCTTCTAGCAGCTTCACGTTGGTTGACAATCTGTATTAAGCTCAGTTGTCACTTGACTATGATGAACTAATAGATTGCTCCAGCAAGGATAACTAAAAGCTACCATTTGTGGACAATAAAGCATCAATATAAAGTTAAAAGCATAGAGGAGAAAAGCAAACAAGCATAAAAGGAAAAGGAAGTTTCAGTAAGGCGCATAATCCATTCAAAGCTAGTTTTAACTGGAAAGCTAACAAAAGTATAAATGAAAAGACGAGTAAACACAGTGCAAGGAAAAGAAAGACATGCATTTATTCCACTGGAGTTTGACGCTTCAAAAACAATGTATGTGTCAGCTGAAATCATCCCTCTTTCTATACTGTTTGATTTTTCTCGCCCCTCTACAACAGCCTGATTTACTGTGAAGATATAACCATTGCCATGATACTCAAATGTTACCCTCTGCCCTGTTGTCATAACCTGCACATCATTATCCCTCTAAATAAATTTCTGAACAGTGTAAATCAGACGAACAAAGAGACAAAATACAGCATATGATTAATTGTCATAGTTAACTTGGTAAATGACTTAGAGAACGTTTAAAATATTCGTTGACTGAATGACTGATCCCCTGTTTCTATTCCTGATGCAGTATTGTTATATTAGTAAATTGTTGTTCTGACTACCATTCAGTGGGTCAATAGATGGCTCTGATGAAAAATACTGGAATTTCATCTAACTTGAGAGAAAATTTAAACAGAAGCATTGTAAATTTGATGTGCCGCCTAAAATGCTAATTTGATATTTGTAATACAACAAGAATAAATATTATAAGAAACAAAAGGGTGTTGAAATGCTTTATGACACGAATAATTGAATTTGAAGATTTTCTGTTTTTTATTAACAAAACTGATGACCACAAGCACAAGCACAAAACACAACTTACTCTTTGAACTTTATTCATCTTTGACCCTAAGCAAGATTTAGCAAAATATTCCATCTAGTTCTTACAATACATTTCTGAAGAGCAAGCATCTGCGATATATATAATATAATTTAGAAGTCATATATATTTGTTCAAATCTTAAACACGTCAACCAAGGACTCTATACAGCATATTAGCATATAAGATATAGTCTACAGTGGGATTAAATGTTCCAGCAAAGCAACAAAGAGATGAATTAGCTTTGCTGATACCCTATCAGAAAAGAAAGGAAATCATAGAAACTTTTTGAATACCAGGATGCTGGATAAACTTTAGGTAAGGGATGCAAATGAATCAAGCCAACCCAAGTATTAGCATGTTTCAAGCTCCTCAACAAGATTTAAGGGTGTCCAAGCTTGGCTCAAGCTCAAACCAACCTAAGAGATCTCTGTTCAGGCTCAGTTCAGCAAATCCTTGTTAAGCTCACAAGTTCCGCGGCTAAGCTAGGTCAATGGGTCAAAATCTTAAGAAAGTATAATTTCTTGAGCCATTTGACTAGAACTGATTGTAGTCGATTCACATATATAACCAAACTTTATACTTGAAAAAAGGTCAAAACAAAAAAAAAAGTGATGACACACCATGCATGATGTGAATGCAAGCTGTATGCTTCAGTACTCTTGTTCTACACCAAACATTGTGCTTATCAAATAACATATAGCCATCAAATTTTACATGAAGTTACATTAGCTTCTATCAACCCTTGTTCACAACCCAAATTAAGCTAAGCTTGGGCTTGAACAGGCTCCACCCGGTCATTAAATGAGTCCAAAGTTAAAGCTTGAGCTCTACTTGTTTATTATAGAAACAATTCGTTGGCAAAGCGAGTCTGACCTATTCATGGAAAGCTGGGTTCATATGTGTTCTACTTTAGGAAATATGCACCTCAATGAAATAGCATGTCTATTTATATATTAAGAGAAAATAAGAATCTTACTTGGTTGATAAATCTCTTCCTAAGTTGCTGAGCCAAAAGAACAGCATCAATCTACCAAATAAACATATTACAGTCATTCCTCTAGACTAAAGCATAAACTAACAGCGCAATAAGACAAAAAGCTCACAGAATATTGAATTGTGCATAAAATGTTTAGTGGTAATTATCCAACAGAATTCAATTCTTTCAAAGGAAAAAGAGAGAGAGAGAGAGAGAGAGAGAGAGAGAGAGAGAGAGAGAGAGAGAGAGAGAGGGAGAGCGAAGCAAATGCAGCGCGTGATCATACCTGCTCGTCTCTAGTCCCTTTTTTTACAAACTCCAACTCAAGAGTAACCACTGCTAGTTCGAAATTATCAGGTGGAACAAATCTAGTGATATTGTCACCATATAAACATCAAAAACTGGTGAAAATGCACCAACCACCACTGAAAATTTTGAAGAAGTTATACCAACCTGGTCACGGATACCGTGTCCCCAGTGGAAACTCTTGCATGGCGACGCTGAATGGCATTGAGAGCAATGTGGCCAATAGGTATGCTTTCGTAGGCAGTATGTTTTAGTTAAGGCAACAATGAAGTACATCTATTCAATAAATGTTCGAACAAAATTGTATCACTTTAACATTTTCTTACTTATACAGAGTTCAAAGATGTATAGAATAAACTTTCTTCACCTAAATTATATTATTTCATTGTACCTCCTAATGCACCAAGTATCCATGCAAAAATTGCACCCACAATCATGAACGAACCCATGCCAAGCAATATACCGTACAACTTAACAACAAGAAATATCCAGAAGAAGCAAAACAAGTTTACCATATCAGTGGTAGTTGCACCAATTAGCAGCTGCATCCACCAAAATCGCAGTCATGACAAGCAATAGATTCCATTTGTGACTATCATCACTCACTGCTACTCTTACAAGATAGAAGCAAGAAAAGGAAAAAGAAGAGAGGAATTTCTCAATAGCAGTGGGCTAAACCATCAGCTGCATCTCTAGATTATATTATGATATGGAGGATATTTTGATGTTTCAACCAAAACCAAAAAGGTTTAACAGGACTAAATATGATAATGTTGTGGAAATTTTAGACTTCTGGAGACATATCAATAAAGATCCACAACTTAATATTCAGGAAAGAAGTCATATTGTAAATCAAATATGAGAAATTTCTTAGATCAGTTGTTGGTCCATCGCCATTCTCATTGGCCATCTGTTACAGCTCCTTAAGTGAATTCAATTTGTCTTTAGTTATACCTACTTCTTTGTATGCAAGAGTGGGCTTGACGAGCTTGATACATCAAGGACCAAGCTGAGAAGAATGGGTCTCCTTTAATTCTTTTGGAATCCTAATAAAGAAAAGGACTAGAATGCCTATTTTGACTATGCTTGAATTGTTTTAAACATGCTGTGTCCTACTGCCATGACTACCTAGCACTTTTCCCTTCATATCTCTTTCTAGGTAAGCATTCAAATGGTAATCCCAGTTTTGGAAATAATTTGACACAAGTTCCTAAAGAAAACAGGCAGTCACTACCCAGCAAAACCAAAAATAAAAAATGAATATTGAACATGTTAAAGCATTTGTCAATGTAACTTAGCATTCTATATAAACAATGTAAGGTTCAAATAAATGAATTGGGCAAAAATGCAAATTGATTGAATATCAGCTATTCAAACTACTTATCAATGTGATTGCACTAGAACCCAATAACCCAACAATTTGAGTAGAAAAAACGGCAGTGGTTCCATTGCTAATTTGCTGATTTTAGTTGTTTCGTGAAAGAAATAACAATCAACTCAATCAAACCCTTGTACAGGTATATGGCAGAGTTGAGCTGAATCTTCCATTCAATTATAAATTAAACACGAGAAAATGAAAAAACAACCAATCGATTTCCTTTCCCTTTCTATAACTATCCAGGCAACTAGTCAAACAAAAATACAGTACACTACATTCACCAAACAATCAAAAACAGAACAAATTAACGTTCATACTGATGAAAGAGTCAGTAGACTAGAGTAGAACAACACAAGCACAAATACCTACTCATGTGAAAGACACGAAGAGAAAAGGATATGATAAAGATAACACAAACGTATCAGCAACCAGAGCAAGAAAGAGATTGGATCCGGGGACAGAGAAGTTCCTGAGATCCAACGGCGAGCAGTAGGCGAAATTGGTGTAGGCTAGGTCTTTTGCAGGCGTGTTCGTGACGATCATGGCCGCTGAGGCTGATCTCCGTGCCATGGTGAGTGAGAGAAACAGAGAGATCGAACACTGAGAAATATAAAGTGTTTTTGCTTGGCTTCGAAGGAATGGAGAGAAGGCGGTGAATGTACAGATGTTCGGGTTTATCCGATGGTTTATGGGTGGGCCGCTTGTGCGTTCGGGCAACAACTTTCAAGGGTGGAGACCGGAGAGTCAAAAGGTCCGTGTCTGGTTGAGTCGGAGTCGATTTAAGCGCGTAGAGAATACTCGCTGCATGGAGATAGTTTTCAGAGTGAGTTGCAAAAATTCAACTCAACTGTTTGAGTTTTTTGCAATACTTTATTCGTCCCCATTTAAGTATCGTTTAGGAAGAGCACGTGGGGACGTGCATTGTATACTTAAAAAAAAATTAATTAATTTGTCTTTTTAAATTTTAAAGATTTAAGTTTAAAATTTTAAATTCGACATATATAAAATATATTATTTGAAAAAGAAAAATGAATTATTATTTTGGGACGGATAAAAAAGAAAGAATGATATTCCCTCTGTTTTTAAATAAGTGTCATATTTTCTTTTTTTGTCTATCCTAAAATAAGTGTCCACTTTCTTTTTTTCAAATAATATATTTCACATCATTCCAAAAATGTCATTTGACTTTAAATTTCAAACTTCAATATTCAAAACTTAAAAGGACAACTTAATAATTTTTTAGGCAAACAATACATGATCCCACATGTCCCCTTAAAAATTACCACTCCCCATAAGTGACACTTATTTATTTTGAAACAAAGAGAGTACTATTTTTTAAGACTTCTACGGACCGTTAAAACACTCGTAGACTTCAAGTAAAAAAGAATTGATTTGATATCCGTTTACCATTTTAGGAATTGAACAACATATTCAAATATGTTTAATCTTATTATTTTTTGAGATTTTTTTTTTCATTTAATCCTAAATCACTCACATGATTCACATCTTATCTTTATACGGTACTAAATAGAAGTAAAATTTTAAAATTATGAATTTATTTTTTTATATATTCCTTTAAGTTTTAGTAACACTGCCCTACGAATTTAAATAATAATTAATTTAATTTAAATTTATTTAAAAATTATTGTGTAGAATACGTATAAAAAATTAATAAAACACATTTTTTTCTTTTTTATTCAAATTTTATGTCTAATTTAATAAGGGTATGTATGGAAACTTGAGTCTAAGTTTTATATCTAATGAATATATACAATTTAATAAAGTTATATACGTAGTGATTTAACACTTAAATGAAAAAAATATATATTAAAAGTAGGAGTTATTTGTCTTTTAAAAAAAAATAATAATAATACTTAGTGGTCACAAAACCATCGTCCAACTTTTGTTTACTTTGATATGCAGTAGGGTTGATCACGGATTGGATTAGTTCGGTTTTGGATAAAATTCAAACCAATTCGGTCCTCACGGATTGGTAAAATCTGGAACTGAACCGATCCATGGAGACTATCAATCCGAACCAAATCGAACTGTGAAATAACGGATTGGTTCGGTTGGGTTCCCACGGATTGAGCTTTTTCAAATAACCCAATATAATTATATTGTAGTTATACCCAACTCAATATATGATTATATTTTACTATTTTAGTTATGACTCAACCAAATAATAAATCTGTCAAAACAGTCAAAACAGTGTGTTGTAACACATTTAATCTAAAAAAAAACAGTAATAAAGTGAGTGATGGAGATTTACAAGAATTTTTCAGATGTTATGGTAATAAATTAATAATATAATTTATTCTGGAGATGAGGGACGAAGAGAGAGTCGATAGACATGTAGAGAGTCAAAGGCTGGGAATAGAAAACCTAGGGTTAGATACGCTTATGTAGGGCTAAAATTTAAAAGCAAATAATGAATAAAAAATAAATAAATAGAAATAATATATTACACTGTACATATAATATTATATATATATATATATATATATATATATATATATATATAATATAATTCACGGATCAGATCGGATCGGTTAACAGATTGGTTCGGTTTTTTCAACGTTCAATCCGTTAATCGAACCGTTAGATCAAAAAACCGAACTGAACCACACGGATCAGATTGGTTCGGATCGGTTTGACGGATTAGCGGATTATTTGAACACCTATTATGCAGTAATTAAAAACTAATTATTTCATTGTGGTTGTGTTTGATTTTGTTCCATTAATTTTTAAGGTTCGATTCTAATTTTTATTGAATCAATTTAATTTTAAAATATTTATAAATTGGTCCAACTCGTAGTGTATGCACCTTACTCACATTGGAATCGATGCAATGCATCAAATTCAGAAAATGGGGGCTTAAATTGCACAAAATTCTCCATAATCATCTCAAATTTTTTTTTTTTTTTAAAAAAATAAATACACTTCATTTTTTTCCTTTAAAAAATATGTCTGTTTAAAATCAATAAATTTATGAATGGATAAAGAAAATGACAACAATATCCTTTTTTATCACCTAAGATAATTCTTAGACAAACTTATGGGTGTATGAAGATCGAAGAACAAGCAATCGACTCAACAAATGCCGGCCGTTCTCGGATAGAAAGACTCTATTCGCGCGCTCTCCAGTCGCCACGGTTTGTTACTCAAAATCACATTTTAAAGGTTGATGGAAAGTTGGAGACGAATCAGCGTCACTTCCTCCTCAAGTGCTCATCTTCCCGTTGTCGATTCTAGGTTAGGTGAACTCTATGCTGAAAATTACTGACGCTTTCAAACCCATATAATCTTTGAAGATGAGATTAGTTAACAGAGTAAGTGGTAGTTTTAATTTTTCTAATATATAAGCTTTGTTTGGATATACAGGAGAGAAAAGAAATGAAAGGATTATAAGAGAAAAGAAAAGAAAAGAAAAGAAGAGAAAAGAAAGGAAATGATAGCTATAGTTTATATTTATGTTTGGATAGATAGGAGAGAAAAGAAAGGAATTGACAATATTGTTGTTTGGATAACACAAAGGAGAGAAAAGAAGGGAAACGATAATAATGAAATTACCATCTTACCCTTTTTGATAGAGTTATTAGGGCAAAATCATTTCAGCCTCCCAATCGCCTCCAACGTTCTCTCTATCTCTCTCTCTCCAACTGGAAACTACAAAATCTACAAGAATCAGAACATCAAAACCCATATCTCCGCATATCATTTCAGATTGTTCCAAAAATCAAAACCAAACTATATATATATATTTTAGCCTCCCCAAACTACATATATATATATATATATATATATATATATATATATATATATATATCAGTCTCTCTATTCTCGTATGGGTTTTGCAGAGAAGACAACAAATTGATTCGAATCGGTAAATCAGCAGCGATGGACCTGATAAAATCGCAGCAAATATCAGCGAGGCCGATCGAAAAGGTGATAGTTCACCCTCTGGTTTTGCTCAGCATCGTCGACAACTACAACAGAGTGGCTAAAGACACTCAAAAGCGTGTCATCAGAGTCCTCCTCGGTAGTTCCTTTAAAGGCATCGTCGATGTCACCAACAGCTATGTAGGTTCGTCCCCTCCCTTCTCATCTCTTTTTGTCCTTCAATTTCTCTCTCCATTCTTGAGATCTAAACTCTTCGTTACTGATTTATGCTTCCAATTGAACCATTCACATATTATTGTAATTCAAATGTTTGTCCTATATTATTGTAATTCAAATTACATATATATATATATATATATATATATATATATATATATATATATATAGTTCAGCCTCCCCAATAGCCTCCATCTCGTTCTCAACCTCCCTATCTCTCTCTCTTTGCAAATGTAATCAAAACCCATATTCGGCTGTTTCTTAACTTTCTTGCCCCTTGTGTAATTTGCTCCCTTTCTCTCCAAATCCCTCCAAATCTTGTCAATTTTGGAGGGATTTGGTTTTACTGTATTGGAGGGATTTGGAGGGATAGGCTATCCCTCCAAATCCTTCCCAATCATTTCTTTTCTTTTCTATTCCCTCCATCCAAACATACTTATCCCTATCCTTCCCTTTCTTTTCTCTCCAAATCCCTCTAAATCCCTCAATCCAAACGAGCCCGAAGGGTATGTTTGGATAAATAGGGGAGAAAAGAAAAGAAATGATAATATTAGTTAGGAGAGAAAAGAAATGAAAGTAATAATTTTTATTCGTGTTTAGATAAATAAGAGAGAAAAGAAAAGAAAGCATAGTTATTCTTATTTGGATAAGATAGAGGAGAGAAAAGAAAAGAAAGGATAGTGACCAAATCACTGTCCTACCCTTGCAGGTCACTAAATTAAATGCTACATATCATGCACTAAATTAGTGGAATTAACAGGGTTCAAGTTCTGGCCATTATCTGTAAGTAGTTTGCATGTGGTTTTATTACATTCTAAATAGCAATATTCTTCACGCTTCGTTTTGGTGAAATTTTACTGTTATGTTTTTGTTTCGATAGACTTGTATGTTTGTGAAGTTCCTCTTCTATATCAGCTATGGTTTGTTGAAATATTACATGCAAACTTCACAAACAAACAAATGAAGAAATTTAATAATTTATTTAATTAGTTCGGCTGCTTAACAAGCTAAAATTTATTCAACCCCAAACAAATATGGATTGATTTTAGCCTGTTCAATTAATTTCTTCATTATCTGTAAGTAGTTTGCATGTGGTTTTATTACATTCTAAATAGCAATATTCTTCACGCTTCGTTTTGGTGAAATTTTACTGCTATGTTTTTGTTTCGATAGACTTGTATGTTTGTGAAGTTCCTCTTCTATATCAGCTATGGTTTGTTGAAATATTACATGCAAACTTCACAAACAAACAAATGAAGAAATTTAATAATTTATTTAATTAGTGCGGCTGCTTAACAAGCTAAAATTTATTCAACCCCAAACAAATATGGATTGATTTTAGCCTGTTCAATTAATGTGAAGAAATCAATTGAATCCCAGACGGTTATAGCGTTGGTCTGGGGTTGAGTATATTTTTCTTCTCTTACGTTAGCCTGGTTCAGAGGCTTAATTGCTTGCTCATTATTTGATAATTTTTCTAGGTTTTACTCAGGTGTTGTGGCTGGAGCCACAGAGGCTTTGCTTAGTGGTGTACCATCTATATCAATATCTCTGAAATGGTGTGTTGGGACATAAATGGAATTACCTTTTAGTATGTTAATTTCTAAAGGGTATTTTTGGTATTACAAATTTATAACTTACTCCACTATCATTTCTCTCCCTATCTTCTCAAATTGGGAGAGAAAGCCAACAAGTGATAGGG